ACCCAAAAATATAGCAGAAAGAATAATTTGTTGAGCCTCGACTAGCTCAATAGCTGCTTATTTATTTATACATAATATATTTGTATCTTTTTGCGGCTTATTTAAGCTCTTTTTGCTCATTTAAGCAATAAAACATTTATTAGTAACGCATCACGAGGCGCCTTCAGCAGGCAGTCAATATTTCTTCTTTGATAACAGAGTGTGCAGCTTTTATGGTGATTTCATCATAATTCCTACATTTACTTATATTGCGGCTTAGTTCATTTGCTGTCTAGTTTTTTTTTATTTTTATAATTGTTAATTTAAAAGCTGCTCGGCAAGCGATATTTATCACTGCGCACGCAGACAGGGGCAATAAAACGTTTGTTATGTATAAAAAGATGATTGCATTTTGTAAATGACATGACAATGGGAAAAGAACCGACACCTCAACTTGTCAAGAAAAACAATTTTGTTGTAACCAACCTGCACAAAGTGCAGCTCACACACAGAAATCTAAATTATACTGCAACGCGACAGCATGACGCGAACTATCTAAGACTCATGGGGGAAAAAACCAACTTAGATTAGCTGCAGCATCGACAACATGAGGCACAGATAAATCTACGAGCGGGTGTTGCCCGGCCTTGCCCGAGGGAGCCGAAAAAATAAACTTTCATTTAGTAAATTTTTGTACCGCAGTTTCTATCCAAGAGAAATGAATCAGTCAATCAGTCTGTCATTCGATCGGTCAGTCAGTCAATCAGTCAATCAATCAGTCAGTCGGTTAGTCAGTCAATCATTCGGTCCGTCAGTCAGTCAGTCAATCATTCGATCAGCCAGCCAATCAGTTAGTCAGCCAGTCAGTCAATCAATGAGTCAATCAGTTCTTCAGTAAGTCAGTCAGTGAGTCAATCATTCGATCAGCCAGCCAATCAGTCAATCAGTCAGTCAATCTGTCTTCAAGTTAGTTAGTCTGAGCAAACAGTCTTATGTACTTATAAAGATATATTGTTAAAAGCTTCTCTCCCACTTAATATGCCAAATCTAGGGTATCTTCTAGACAGCAATACTGACTAATACAAAAACAACTTGTTGTGGCTGTTAATGTGTCTGTAAACGTGTTCGTGTGTGTGTGCGTGTGTATTGTTTCTTATTGGACTTGCTGACAAAACACGCGCTTTCATTTCATTTTCATTTCGTTTTCATTTCATGTCTCTAACTTTGCACCAAAAAGAAAACTTTTCGCCCTTCCCGCTGCTGTTTTTATTTTAGCACGTTTTTGCTTACATTTCGAACTTTATAAATTTTTAACTGATTGCCAAAGGCGCAAACAGGCCACGAGTTTCACTTTATTTCCTTTAGATACCCTCACGGAGGATCATTTCGTTTGGACACGAATCTGCGAGACCCTCAAAATATATATATATTCTCAATCAGTATGACAAGGCGTGTCGGCATCGGACCTCCAGATTGTTAGAATCGGTCGTGAAATACATTCTTGTATGGAAAACTTTTTGCGTTTTTCTTTTCTTTTTATACCCTTGCAGAGGGTATTTTAATTTTGTCGTGAAATGTGTAACGCATAGAAGGAGACATCTCCGACCCCATAAAGTATATATATTCTTGATCAGCATCAACAGCCGAGTCGATCTAGCCATGTCCGTCTGTCTGTTTCTATGCGAACTATTCCCACAGTTTTAAGGCTATCTTAATGAAACTTTGCAGAAGTTCCTCTTTCTGTTGCACGCAGCACATATGTGAAAACCAGCTGGATCGGACCACTATATCATATAGCTGCCATAGGAGCGATCGGTCGAAAATTAAGTTGTTGTGTGGAAAAATTGTTTGTTTTTTACGATATCTTGACCAAACTCGGCATTTATTAGTTATGCTATGCTCCTCATATATATGCAAATTCCTATTAAGATCGAACCACTATATCATATAGCTGCCATAGGAACGATCGGTCGAAAATTAAGTTGTTGTATGAAAAAACATTTTGTTTATCAAGATATCTTGACGAAACTCGGCATTTATTAGTTTTACTATACCACTCATATATATGCAAAATCCCATTAAGATCGGATTACTATATCATATAGCTGCCATAGGAACGATCGGTCGAAAACTAGGTTTTTGATTAAGAACCTTTGTTGTTTTTCAAGATATCTTGCACAAACTCGGCATTAACTATTTACCCTGTGCTTCTTAGATACGGGCAAAGCACTATAAGCATTATGAAAAGGTTGGGTCTGCAAGGGTATTAGATCTTCGGCGTGCCGAAGATAGCCTTTCATTCTCGTTTTTTTTTTTTGTGGTTTACATTTTGTCAAATTTGTTGGGTAAATGTCAAAAGTTGTAGCAAATCGCAAAGTCATTAAAGTTGTTACATAATTAAAATGAAAGGAATTCAGGGAATGTCAATTTGCATAGGATTCACACACACACACACACACACACACACACACACCCACACACACACACACACACCCACACACATGAGAGCTGGTTTTATATTTAGATATTTATGCGGGGTAGCTGGGTCATTGGGTCATACGCTTGCCTGCGCCGGGCACGGGCACGCGGATATCCCGGACCCTATTTAATGTCGCTATCAGAGCCCGGCCAGGCGCGTGCCCTAATCCCAGGTGTAAGTGGATGTGTGTGTGTGTGTGCGGTCAGTAATTTTGCATAATTGGAAAGCAAACACTCGGGACATTACGAAAAATAAATAGGTTAAAGGTCTATAGAACGGATTTCCTCACTGCAAGATATCCTAGCTTAAGAAACCTAAGCTTAAGCTTGCAAGTTCCACTGAATATGAGCAATGTTTTTCCGACTAACTCAGGTTTTAATCGACGGATCTTTATGAAATTTTGAGATCTTTAATATGAACTACAAAAGGTTGCACATCCCAAAGCGCAAGGCTCTATCCTTTTTAGTTCTCGAGATCAAAGCCTTTACGCAGATGGATGGACTTTATGGGCTCAGAAAATCCCTCTTCCGATTCTTACATACATTCACCCAAAATCAATATACCCTTTTCGTTCTTTTTTCAAAAGTGTAAAGTACACACAATTTTAATTACGTATATTGCGTACGATTAGTTCGTCGAGTAATTACTCGGCTTATCGATTAATCGAGTAGTCAGCGATTGCACGATTGCATCGCGAGTAGTTTGGCAAACAACATAATCAAATGGAAATTAATGCGCATTAGACAAATTGAGTACCAAACAGTGCCAAACTGATGCGATACGTGATGCGATACAGGACATAATACAATTTTATATCGCACGCTCGTAACACTAGTCAACAGCGTTGCGAATCGCGCGAATCGGACACCAGGGAAATTTAAAAACAAAATTCTATAAGAAGTTAAGAGCTCCCGACTAGGAGATAATTGTATGTTTAGAGTAAATCAAATAAAAAGCACAAAATTCGAATAAATACACAAATTTTCACGCATATTCCACCCTTTCAAGCGAAATTGATCATATTATAAAATTAACCGAAATAAATGAAATTCAATTTAAACTTTCGATATTTGTGCACATATTTATTTATGCATTGCTTCCTTCTAGCACAACCCTTCAAGACGACGAGTTGTCTATCTAACTGCCTGTCGCAATTTTGTTGTCTAGTGTAATAGAGCACAAGTGGGTGGCTGCTTTAATAAAAACTTTTCGAAACGTGCTGACAGCAAGAAAGCAGCCTCCAAATATGTTGTGTGTGTGTGTGTGTGTGTGTGTGTCTCTCTCTGATGTGCCCGCTGATTCGAAGATTGAAGCAAAAGTAGGCACCAGGGCGCAAATGAATATTGATTCATTGATTTCTAATCAATTCAGCAGCACGGGTGGTTCCATCAAAGAGAACACACCCGCTCGACTCCAACTCCGAAACCCTTCTAATTGCTGTTGACTATTTTGTTAATTTGGCAGCCAACTATTAATCCAGAGCTTATATTCATACCCTGAGACCATTGGCTAAAAGGGGTATATTGGTTTTGGGTAAGTTTGTGTAAGAAACGGACGAAAAAAACTTCTGGATGATTAACTAAGTCGATCTATCTTCTATATCGTACGCAAAGCAGGGTTTTACATTTATTTTGATATCTCTTCATATTTTTATGAGTTCGATAAATATCGATTTTGGGACAAGGCTCCTTAAGCATAACTCAAAAAGTAGGCGCGGATGTCTCCCGCCTTTTATCCTAACATTAGAACAAGAAGAAGCTTCGTCCGTCCGTCCGTCCGTCCGTATGTATGAACGCAAGGATCTCAGAACCGATAAGAGCTAGAGACTTGAAATTGAATAAATGTAGATGCTCCTAGTGCCTGCGCAGATCGAGTTTGTTTCCGATAATCGATAACTTACTCCGTTTCCAAGCAATCGATAAAAATCGATATCGATATCCTGTTTTTTTGGGCAGTTTTGGTAAATAATAAGAGCTAGAGTCACCAAACTTGACATATAGCTTCTAAAATAGAATATATATATGCATTTGATGTTGGAAGAAGAGGGTTCGGGAGCTCCCGACTAGAACCTCTTACTTGTTCAAAGCTCGGCGCTTGGTTCAGGGTATCTCTGGGTCGAGCACACCCCACTCCAACATGTTTTGGTGTCGATTCGTGTAACTGGTTTTGTGCGTGCCACATGATGAACTTCAAGTGTCTGGCAACAGAATAATATTTGAGTGGGCAACATTTCATTCAGTTGAGCAGGCAAAAGCAGACGCAAAGTGGACGCCAGTGCAGGCAACGTGACGTATGCGTAATGCGAGTGACATTTGAAGTGACGCACAAGGCGGCCAAGGAACGTGCACAACATTTCTTGTGAAATATACAAAAATAAACGAAAAGTGATATAAAACAATAAAAAAAAAGGCCAACTTCAAGCAAGATGTACAAGAGAAAGGCCTAGCACCAGGCGGCAATTCGATTTGCAGAAATATTTCAAAACCAAAGTAACAGAAACAAAAATAGAAACTGTGCGCTATAAATAAATGTGATTTGCGATAATAATTAATTAATAATAGCAACAATAAATGCAAACAATATTTGTGATTTTAGTTAATTAAAGCACAGGCGCAAATTGAATCCAATTCGGCAGACGCACAGCTAATTCAATAAATAGAAAATCAACATTAGCTTGGTCCAAGCGTCTGAGCAACGGCGTCAGCGTGGGTCACAGCCAGAGATCGATTGAAGCCAACTCGAGGCGGAGCAGCGGCGCCTCTGGCCACAAAAGACGCAGCTACGTTTGGCCCTTCAGGATGCGAATGAAGGTCGGCAAATTCTGTCTGCAGCGCCAGGCGTCGGGCCAGAGCGAAAAGTTTCCACAGCCCAGGTGAGTTTACGCCGCAACGAACTCAAACTTATTTCCGTTAATAAAAGTTAATAAAAAAGTTTGCGAATAACCCTTATAATAAGCTAACAATGTCGATATGCTAACTAATAAATTGTTATCGATACGATTGCAAGTGCACATTCAATCAATCAAATTTTTTATCGACTTTGTCGATAACTGCGGGACGCTCAATAATTATTTGTTATCGATAGTTCTGGTTGCATCGCTTTGACTACTTATCGAAAATTTACGATACTGTCGTTATCGATAACTGTACTAGACCAAATAATTAAATGTTATCGATAGTTGCAGCTACCATATGAATGCAAATGTGTATATCGTTATGATTTCTTATCGATAAATGTTTGAAATTTGTGTCATCAGTAAGTGAAAAACGAAAAGCAATATCGATTGATTCGATATGAATGCGGACTCATGGTTATTTATCGATAGTCCAAATTTATATGAAATGTATTTATATAACGATTGTCATTGTCAATAACTGCAATTTAATAAATAATGAGCCCCTATTAAAGCTATTGTTATCGATAGCTGCGTTTTTGCCAAGTGTTAATCGATAGCTTTTAAATTCTTTATTTGTATCGATATTTGCACAATCGTTGTAACAATACGAGAGCTTATTTATCGATGTATGCTAAGAAAAAAGAAAAGAACCAATTGTTAAGCACAATCTACTTAGTAGAATAAAATCACATTCAGCTTAATACACAATTAATTTTGCTGTTCTTTTTTAACATTTATAAGGATATGCAGTGGACTGCAAACGTTTCGAATTACAAGACGAATCCAGTTAAATTATGAATGGAAATGAATAATATTTCGGACAGCTGCGCCTAATGAATGTACTGCAAAAGTATCCAATGTCTGACAGCCTATGTACATCTATACCCTTTTGCTATACCTACTTGTTATACACCTGCTTGTTATACCTTCTTGTTATACCTTTATGTTCTTCCTTCTTGTTATACCTGCTTGTGATACCTTAAGTCCATTTAGGAAAGGGTAGATTTAATTTGTAAAAATGTATGCGAAGGGCAGAAGTTGAAGCAAATATTGTCTTGTTCTTTTCTTGTTATCGATAGTTCCACGCATATCGATTGTAATCGTTAGACAGCCCTGATTTTTAAAGCACGGCTTGAATATAAATCGAACTAGTCGTGCTAGTCGTGGACTATATTTCACTCCTGAAAGTTTTATAATAATATGAAGTATTAGGTATTCTTATATAGAGCATTAAGTACGACTGTGTATTGCGGCTCAGGTTAGGGTATCTGCCGGTCGAACAAGCCAAACTCTAGCCCCTCTCACTTGTTTTAAATTATTATTATTCCCAGCAACAAGTTCGCCCACATAAACAAGCGTATATACAAACATGTTCATCTGCGAGAAGAGCTGGCGGAACGCACGTGCCTTTCACCCAACTGGCAAACAATTCGATGCTGGGGGACCCAAAAGAAGCCGAAAAAGAAAACATAAACATTCGGGAGTTTTGTTGGGCACAAACTAATTTACCTCAAGTAAATGGCAGCGACATGTGTCGCCAGCACACAGACCGCAAATGGGGCGTGGCTGGTCTGAATATAATGTCATACATTTAATTTCCGTTTGCCGACAAAGAGGCTGACAAATGTCCGCCTGATATATTTGAATAAGCCGAGTAGAACATCGAAGCCAGCCCGGGCAACCAGCCAGGTGCCATCAATCCGAGCGCTCATCAATCAAAGACTGCTACAGACTGGAACTGGGAGGCCAGACTCCCGTCTCCAGTCCTGTTGTTGTCCTGGCAACTTTTCCCCGAACATGACTAAAGCCAAATACTAATTAATTTGCCCCACGCCTGCGGCCTCGTGTTAGCCAGCAATTATTTTTCAATTTACTTTTTGTGTGCCTAAGAAGCGCAATATTAATAGACAATCGTCGAACCGTGGCATGCCGGGCCGCAGGATATGCCAGCCACGCGGCGTATGCGTTATATCTGACGGGACATATCACGCATACGCCCCGTTGAGCTTGGGCGAATTGCCATCTAATTTTAAATAAGCCATTAACGTTTCGGCCATCAGCCTAACCAAAATGTGGGTCAACATCAACTAAACGTTCCACAGCTGACAGCACAACATTTGTGCACAGCCAGCAAAAACGATATGGGGAATGCTCGACTGAAAGATGCCCTGTTCAAAAGTGTGTTGACGATTAACAAACGAAAAATTGAATGTATAATATTTGCAAAAGTATATAGATATATGAAGCTAAATAAATATCATAATACACAACAGTATCGATAACTCGAATAAATCGATATCCGATATTCGATATATGCACAAAACTATTCAAATCAGCTCTTGGTGTAGCCCTTTAATATAAAAACCTGCTCTCGACTCCAATACCTATCGATAACTCTATGAAAACCCATTGACTATCGATAGCACAATCGATACTTTTATTAGTTATTCTAGCCGAAATAATCGCCTAGGCTATCGATATTTTATCGACTTTTCGTTACTCTCGAATTCGATGAATATCGATAACACAATCGATACGTTATGGGGAAAATGCCCTTTTGTATCGATGCTAACAATAATAATCGCCAAATTATTATATCGATATTTGTATCGACTTTTACTTGCTCCCGAATCAATAGCGCAATCGATGGCATTGTTAATCCTCAAAGTAAAAATTCTCGTTTGTATCGATGTTAACAATAATCATCTTCAAGTGATGCTATCGATACTTGTATTGATATCGTCTGGTTATCGATATAATCGATAGCTTCTGTTACTTCTGTTAGCGGCTAGCTTCTTTAGCCTGTCACTTTGTCTAAACTTCGTGATGCCATGTTAACCCATTTGCTGGCTACAGGGTATAACAATGATGATGATGACCTCGTCGAGGCGGCAAGGTCAATAGTTAAGTGAGGCTCCAGCGCCATTTTTACATTGTCGCCCGGCAGATTGTTGTGAGCACATTAAAAATGCGATTATGAATGTGCCAAAGGTTCAGAATGTGCACATGTGTGTGTGTGTGTGTGTGTGTGTGTGTGGTGTGGGTGGATGTGGTGTGTGGTGTCTTGACAACGTCGCTTTGTTCGTTACGTGTGAAGTGCGTAATGGCAAGTGTCATAAACGTTATGCATAATTAAAACATTTGATGCCAAAATTGGGAATTAGAGAATTGCGCCTGACACATTAGACAGATTCGAAAGGCGGGCAAAGGACTCTGTGCGAGAAAAGGTAAATTCAGGTGACAGCATTCAAGAAGAAGATTTGAATGCCTATAGACATCTCTATGTTTGAACCCGAAGTTTGGGCCTACACACACTTTAAGTCAGCTTCATGATTGAAAAGTTCTTGTGGATTTGATTTTTCGTGGCGCTCGAAGCCCCAAAAGTATGCCACGGAAAGTTTTTGTTAAACATAGGGATATTTTCCAGCTAGGCAGGAGAATGGGAAATATTATGTTCCGTAAAAGGCAGGCACAAAAGTTTACTAACATTGCTTTCATAAGTAAAATAAATAAATACAAATAATTTAAAGTGACTTCTAATTTTATGTGATTCAAGTTTTTGAGATCTAAATCAAAGCTTCATAATAAGCTGAATTGCTTAAGTAAAAATTGTTAAAGATAAGAAGAAGATTGAGCCCAGGCCAAAAGCCAAACTCACGAACCGTTCCGCTCACCGAACCATTGAAATTGCTTTTTCAATTGGTTCATTTGAACATTTGTTCAAATCGTGAACCGAACCATTGAAGTTGTTACCCATTTTACCATTCACATTGGTTCATTTAAACACTGATTCAATCCATGAACCGAACCAATAAAACTGTTGCTCATTTTGCTACTCATTTTGGTTCATTTGCACAATATTTTTGCTACTCATTTTGCTTTTTTACAATTCTCTAACTGCCCTACCTCAAAATCGTGACATGTGCTTGAATATATTATTTATAAAAAAGAAAAAAAAAAAGCTGCCAAGCCGGCGGCAATAAATTAAAAATCCAACAACATATAAGTCGACCTTTGTAACTGATTAAATGCATATGCATTATATAAGAAACATATATTATAAAGAACATATATCAATACAATTATTTCCCAGCACAAAGAGTAGAATTATGTTAATTGATATTTAATCGAATGCAGCCAACGAGAGCTCTCATTAATTCTATTGCAGCAACTTTTCACTTGTTTATAGAGTAGTAAATATACATACATGTGGTATATATTATGGTATATATTATGGCATATATTATAGTATATATTATGGTATATATTATAGTTTATTTTATAGTAAATATTATAGTATAAGTTATAGTATATATTATAGTATATACTACAACATATACTCTAATTTATATTATAGTAAATATTATAGTATAAATTATAGAATATATATTATGGTATATATTATAGTACATATTATAGCATAAATTATAGTACATATTATAGTATAAATTATAGTTAGTGTAAATTATAGCAAATATTATAGTATATACTACAACATATACTATAATTTATATTATAGTACATATTATAGTATAAATTATAGTAAATATTATAGTACTACAACATATACTATAATTTATATTATAGTAAATATTATAGTATAAATTATAGAATATATATTATGGTATATATTATAGTACATATTATAGCATAAATTATAGTACATATTATAGTATAAATTATAGTATATATTATGGTATATATTATAGTATATATTATGGTATATACTACATCTATAATTTATATTATGGTATACATTGCAGTATATATTATGGTATATATTATAGTATACTGTAAGAAATTCCAGAACAGACGCGTAAACATTTTGAATTATGGCGCGTATCTGTTATTCTCGAGCTACTATTTTGCATATGCAGAGCTCTATAATAATACATTTGCATACAATTCCTGCTACAGTGAAAACTCGTAGTTAACGTCTATAAAATCATTGAAAACACGTGCAAATTGCGTGGGAG